AGAAGACTTAATATTCTTAAGATGTCAATACTACCCAAAGCAACCTACAGATTCAGTGCAATATCTATAAAAATTCCAATGATGCTTTTTGCAGAAATAGAAAAATCCATTCTAAAGTTCATATGGAATCTCAAGGGACCTCACATAGCCAAAACAATTTTGAAAAAGAATGGACCTTGGAGCACCACAATTCCTGATCTCAGAATTTACTACAAATCTGCAGTAATCAAAACGGTGTGGCACTGGCATAAGGACAGACATATAGACTAATGGAATAGAACAGGAAGCCCAGAAATAAATAAGAAGCCCATCACATTTATGGTAAAGTGATTTTTGACAAGGATGTCAAGACCATTCAATAGGTAAAGGACAGTACTTTCAACAGATGTTGCTGGGAAAACTCAATATCCATATGCAAAAGAATGAAATCAGACCCTTATCTAACATCATACACAACAATAACTTAAAATGGACCACAGGCTTAAATTTAAGACCTAAAACTATAAAACTCTTAGCATAAAATATAGGGCAATTTCATGACATTGGATTTAGCCTTTTGTTTTGATAGACACCAAAGACACAGGCAAAAAAAGAAAAAAATAGACAAATTAGACTTCATGAAAATTTTTAAAAATTTGTGCATCAAAGGACAATATCAACAGGATGATAAGGCAATCCACAGAATGGGAGAAAATATTTACAGATCATATATAATGATAATGGATTAATATCCAGAATATAGAGAGAAGTTATAAAACTCTACAACAATAAAACAAACAACCCAATTAAAAAACAGGTAAAGGAGTTGAATAGACATTTCTCCAAAGAAGATAAATAAGTGGCCAATAAACATGTGAAAAGATGCTCAACATCACATGATTATTAAGGAAAGGCAAATCAAAACTACAATGAAATACAACCTCATACCCATTAGGATGGCAACTATAAAAAAAAAAAAAAAGGGTCTGGCAGGTGGCATAGCGGTTAAGTTTGCACGTTCTGCTTTGGCAGCCTGGGGTTTCCTGGGTTCGGATCCCAGTGTGGACATGGCACTGCTTGGCAAGCCATGCTGTGGTAGGCGTCCCACATAGAAAGCAGAGGAAGATGGGCATGGATGTTAGCTCAGGGCCAGCCTTCCTCAGCAAAAAGAGGAGGATTGGTGGCAGATATTTGCTCAGGCCTAATCTTCCTCAAAAACAACAACAAAACAAAAAAAAAAAACAGGAAAATAACAAGTGTTGACAAGGATGTGGAGAAATTGGAACCCTTCTGTACTGTCGGTGGGAATGTAAAATGGAGCAACCATTATGGAGAACAGTATGGAGTTTTCTCAAAATTTGAAAATAGAACTACCATATGATCCAGAAATTCCATTCTTAGGTTTGCACCCTCAAAAATTGAAAGTGGGTTCTCAAAGAGATATTTGTCCACCCATGTACATAGCAGCATCTTTCATAATAGCTAAAACATTGAAGCAACGCAAGTATCCATTGATAGCAATATGGATAAGCAAAATGTAGCATATACATACAACGGGATATTATTCAGACTTAAAAAGAAAGAAAACTCTGATATTTACTACAACGTGGATGAATCTTGAGGCCATTATGCCAAGTGAAAGAAACTAGCCACAGAAGACAAATACCAAATGATTCCACTTATATAAGATATTTAGAGTAGTCAAAATCATACAGACAGAAAGTAGAATGGTGACTACCCTTGGCTAAGGAGTGGGAAAATGGGGAGCTAATGTTTAATGGGTGTAGAGTTTTGGTCTTACAAGATGAAAAGTTATGGAGATGGATAATGGTTACGGTTGCACAACATTATGAATGTATTTAATACCACTGAACTTTGCACTTAAAGATGACTATGGTGGTACATTTTTTTCCAAATAATTTTATTGAGATTATAATGGTTTATAATATTGTGTAATTTCGGGTGTGCATTATTGTTTATCAATTCCTGAATACACTTCATCGTGCACACCCACAGTAGTCTAATTTTTACCCATCACCATACATGCATGCCTGTTTGTCCATTTTGACCAACCCCCAGCCCCCTTCCCCTCTGGTAGCCACTAATCTGTTCTCTTTATCCATGTACTTGTTATCTTCCACATATGAGTGAAATCATGCAGTATTTGTCTTTCTCTACCTGGCTTATTTTCTTAACATCATAACTTCAAGGTCCATCCATGTTGTTGCAAATGGGATTATTTTGTCTTTTTCATGGATGAGTAATATTCCATTGTATATATATACCACATCTTCTTTATCCTTTCATCTGTAGAAGGACACTTGGATTGCCTCCACCTCTTGAATATTGTGAATAATGCTGAAGGGAACATAGGGATGCATAAATCTCTTTGGATCATTGATTTCAAGTTCTATGGATAAATACCCAGTAGTGAGACAACTGGATTGCATGATATTTCTATTTTTAATTTTTTGAGAAATCTCCATGTTTCCCATAGTGGCTACACCAGTTTGCTTTCCCACCAACAGTGTATGAGGGTTCCTTTTACTCCACATCCTCTCCAACATTTGTTTTTTGTCTTTGTAATTATAGCCATTCTGACTGGTATAAGGTGATACCTCATTGTAGTTTTGATTAGCATTTCCCTGATAATTAGTGATGTTAAACATCATTTCATGTGTCTCTTAGCCATCTGTGTATTTTCCTTGGAAAAATATCTGGTCATATTCTCTGCCCATTTTTTGATCAGGTTGATTCTTTTTCCCTTGTTGAGTGTATGAGTTCTTTACATATTTTGGAGATCAACCCCTTGTCTGATAAATGATTTGCAAATATTTTCTCCCGGTTGGTGGATTGTCTTTCTGTTTTGCTCATGGTTTCCTTTGCCTTGCAGAAGTTCTTTAGTCTGATGTAGTCCCATTTGTTTATTTTTTATATTGTTTCCCCTAGCTGTGTAGAAATGGTATTCAAAAATATGCTGCAAAACCCCATGTCAAACAGTGTGCTGCCTGCACTTTCTTCTAGGAATTTTATGGCTTTGGGTCTTACATTCAAGTCTTTAATCCATTTTGAGTTAAATTTTTGTGTATGGTGTAAGATAATGGTCTACTTTCATTCTTTTGCATGTGGCTGTCCAGTTTTTGCAACACCATTTATTGAAGACACTTCCCTTTTTCCATTGTATGATCTTGGCTCCTCTGTCAAAGATTAACTTTCTATAGATGTGCAGTTTATTTCTGGGCTTTCAGTTCTGATCCATTGATCTGTTTCTCTGTTTTTGTGCCCATTCCATGCTGTTTTGATTACTATAGCTTTGTAGTATGTTTTGAACTCAGGGATTGTGATGCCTCCAGCTTTGTTCTTTTTTCTCTGGATTACTTTGGATATATGGTGTCTTTTGTTTTTCCATATAAATTTTAGGATTTTTTTGTTCTATTTTTGTGAAGAATGTCATTGGGATTCTGATTGGGATTGCATGGAATCTGTAGATTGCTTTTGGTAGTATGAACATTTTAACTATGTTTATTCTTCCAACCCGTAAGCATGGAATATCTTTCTATTAGTTTATGTCTTCAGTTGCTTTCAATAATGTGTTATAGTTTTCAGTGTACAGGTCTTTCATCCCTTTGGTTAAGTTTATTCCTAGGTATTTTATTGTTTTTCTTGTGATTGTAAATGGGTTTATATTCTTGATTTCTCTTTCTGCTTTTTCATTGTTAGTGTATAGAAATACAACTGATTTTTTTAAACTTTCAGATGTACATCATAATATATTTCAAATTCTGTGTAGACTACATCATGTTCACTACCCAAAGACTAATTATAATCCATCACCACAGATGTGTGCTTAATCATCCCTTTCGCCCTCATCCCTCCCTCCTTCCTCTCTGTAAACATCAATCCAATCTCTGTTGCTATGTGTTTGTTTGTCATTGTTTTCATCTGCAACTTATGAATGAGATCATATGGTATTTGATTTTTTCCCTCTGACTTCTTTCACTTAGCATCATTTCCTCAAGGTCTATCAATGTTGTCAGAAATGGCTGGATTTCATCCTTTGTTATGGCTGAGTAGTATTCCATTGTGTATATATACCACATCTTCTTTATCCATTCATCCCTGATGGGCACATAGTTTGCTTCAAAGTCTTGGCTATTGTGAATAATGCTGCGATGAACATAAAGGTGCCACAATTGATTTTTTAAAATTGATTTTGTACTGCGCAACTTTGCTGAAGTTGTTGATTGATTCTAATAGTTTTCTGATGGATTCTTTAGAGTTTTCTATATAGAGAATCATGTCATCTGCAACCAGTGAGAGTTTCATTTCTTCCTTTCCAATTTGGATTCCTTTTATTTCTTTTTCTTGCCTAATTGCTCTAGTCAAGAATTCCAGTATTATGTTGAATAGAAGCGGCACGAATGTGCACCCTTATCTTGTTCCTGTTCTCAAAAGGATGGCTTTCAGTTTTTCTCCATTAAGTATGGCATTGGCTGTGGATTTGTCATGTATGGCCTTTATTATGTTGAGGCACTTTCCTTCTATACCCATTTTATTAAGAGTTTTTTTTTATCATAAGTGGATGTTGGATCTTGTCAAAAGATTTCTCTGCATCTATTGAGATGATCATGTGATTCTTATTCCTTATTATGTTAATGTGATATATCACATTGATTGATTTGTGGAGGTTGAACCGTCCTTTCATCCCTGGAATAAATCCCAATTGATCATGATGTATGATCCTTTTAATGTATTGCTGTATTCAGTTTGCCAATATTTTGTTGAGGATTTTTGCATCTATGTTCATCAGCGATATTGGTCTGTAATTTTCTGAGGTTAAAAACTTTTAAAACATCAAAATTATAGAGCTAATAAAGGGCAGAGACAGGATTTGAACTCAGGTTTTCCTGAAACCCAAGTCCATGTTCCTAATAATAAATAATGCTGGATATTTCCTTTATTAAGTTATCTTGTATATACAGTTAATTAAAACTTCCAGTGAACTATGTTTTGTCCCTCAGTTCCAGTGTCTCGTCCTGTCCTCACTCTCAACCCTGCTGGCACCCAGCCTGTGGTGGGAGATGTGTTGGAGCTTCGCTGTGAGGCCCAAAGAGGCTCTCCCCCGATCCTGTACTGGTTTTATCATGACAATGCCACCCTGGGGAAAATCTTGGCCCCCTTTGGAGGAGGAACATCCTTCAACCTTTCTCTGACGGCACAGCCTTCTGGGAACTACTCCTGTGCGGCCGACAATGGTCTAGGGATCCAATGCAGTGAGGTGGTAATGCTCAACTTCACAGGTGGGTTGGCGGTACCTGGGCTATAGGTTACAGTTATGTCAATAAAATATTTCTCCAACAGATTGTACAAATTCTGCCAATGTCAAAGAGTTTTGCAACATGATACCAAGGCTTGGGGCTTCTGGAGATTGGTACTGATTTCATGGAGGAGAAGAAAAGGGAATAAATTTTCATCTTAGATGCTGCCAATCACCCTCTATGTGTCATTATTTTGAAATTTACAAATTATACCAGAGATAATTCAAGTGGAGAAATCAGAAACTGGCAAAAATCTTTCCTGATAGATCTCTAGCTCCCACCCACATAGTCTTTGCCTAGATCAAAAATATTTGCTACTGGAACTCAAATATAGGTTTTTCCACTTAGTGCCTTCCAGGAGCAAAATAATCCTTATCACTGTGGGAGTCATCTCGGGGCTGCTAAGTATCCTTGGCCTTACTGCTACTGCTGCTCTGGTGTGCAAGTTCAAGACCCAAAGGAAATCAAGTGGGTATCTACTTCTTACCCTTGGATATTGTGACTTATGCCATTGCTATAATAATTTGGACTTGTGTGGTGCATCTGATAAAGGTCAATTTTTCCCTTCAAGTAATAGACTCTCAGTTCTACTCACTGCCACTCTATAGGTAACAGTGGCAAAAATCATAAATTTCTCAATGAAATTGTTACTCCATATGTTTAATTTGAGATTTAAATCAGATAGCAAGAGTTTGACTTCCAATTATAAATTACAAAGTTAAGTGTTTACCATTCTACCCACAGTCCAAAGCTTACTGAGAACAAAAAGAATGAAAAATCAAGTCCTTTCTTTGTAAAAACAACAAAAAGACAATGGCCATGAGTATAAACCATGGACTTTGAGATGTATTCAAATACCTGTCAAATATAGTGAAATTTGGATAAAATTAACAAAGAATGCTGAGAATTAAATTAAAGTTTAACTTCTGATCATTTATTGATAGTATATAGAAATAAAATTTGTTATTGTAGTGTCGTTTACTCTGAAATGTTCTTTGATGTTAATGTATTAATGTAATTAGTGTTAGCATGGTATTTCTTTATTCATCTTTTTACTTTTAACCTATTTGTGCCCCTATATTTAGTGCATTGTTTACAGAGAGTGTAAGTTAATTCTTGTTTTTTTATCCAAGATGACAGTCTCTACCTTTTAACTAAGGCGTTTAGATCATTTCCTAATGTGATTATTGACAGGCTCATATTTAAGTCTATTATTTTGCTATTTGTTTCCTATTTGTCCCAACTGTTCTTTGGTTTCTTTTTTCCCCACCTTCTTTTGGATCAATGGAGTATTTTTTGATGCCATTCTATTTCCTTTGTTGGCTTATTAGTTATATAGTTCTTTGTTTTGTAATTTTAGTGGTTGTTTTAGAGTTTATAGTATACATCCCTAATGTCACAGTCTGTGTTCAAGTGATAGTATTCACTTCACATATAGTATATTACTATAGTGTGCTCCATTTCTCCTCTCCCAGCTACATTGTTATTATTTTTGCAATCAATTATCTCTTAAAGAGACTTAAATATAATTTTAAAATCTTATATATTTACTCAAGTGGTTACCACTTCCAAAGTCCTTTATTCTTTTTTGTATATCCATATTTTCATTTGATATCATTTTCTTTCTGCCCAAAATATTTCTTTTAACATTTCTTGTAGTATGGGTCTGCTGGTGATGAATGACTTCAGCTCCTGTATGTCTGTAAAAGTCTTTATTTTGCATTCATTTGTGAAAGATATTTTTGCTGGCATTGAATTCTAGGTTGAAAATATCTTTTCTTTCAGTATTTTAAAGATGTTGCTCTGTTGTCTTTTTGTGTGCATTGTTTCTGACAGGAAATCTTCTATCATTCTTATCTTTGTTCTTCTGTGGCTACTTCTTTTTATTTCCAAATTGTTTTCCATGAATCAGGAATCTTTGAATGAACTGTTTTATTTAGCACTCTGAGTGCTTGCAAGGTCTCAATACTTTATATTTTGGAATTACTAACCTTTTACTTTCTTTTTGTCTATGTGGTGTAACATGGCAACTCCTTTTCTGTCAGGCTAAATGCTTCTTTCTGTTCTCTCTTTCTCAGGGCTCATACTGAAAACCAAGAAAATAAGCAAATGAAACATTTGGATCTCAGTTTAATGAAAAAGCTTACATATTTTTTCTTAATCATGCTGGTCAAGCATTGTCTTCTTACACCTCTTTTCATGTCAATCAATGAGTTTCCATCCTGTTTCTTTGTATGAAAAATGGCATTGACATTTTGTGATTGATATTTTAAAGCTACTTAGTATTGTATTAAATAACATTACATATAAAATTATGTGTATATATAATTTTCAAAAACATGTGAAGAGAATGAAAACGCTAACTCCAACAGTACTCATAAAATCTGTCATTTATTTAGAGTCTATTATATGCAATTTTATAACTTGTCTAATTCTCCCAATTGTTCAATAAGTACATTTCAGTTCAATTCTACCAAAATTATTATCAACAAATTACAGATGAAAAAATGGAGATTTAGGGAAGTTAAGTAACCTTTCACATATCTATTACGAATCAGAATTAGGGCTTAACTTGAGTATTCCTAACCCTTGAGTTAGTATTCTCTTCATTACACCTTGACGACTTGTAGAAGGCTGGTCACACTTCCTACTCTCAAAGTTACTTTTCTATCTCATTGCCTATCCAGGATATAATTTATTAATCAGTAGCATACTAGAAGTGCAGACATTAGAACACCAATGTTAAAGTTGATAATGTTCAAAAAACCGATTGCTCAGTCAACACAACACCAAACAACACCAGGGAAGGAAAGATTGCCAATCATCACTTTATGTGATCCGTGAGGGTGTGAGCTCTGGAGGTTTTGTCCTCAGATCTAGGAGAAATGTTGTTGTAAATATCAAATTCAACTAAGGAATTCTGAGAGTCCACCAATCAGAGGTTCGCTGCCATTCTCATCTCAAAATCTTGCCTACTGTATTTCCCTCATAGTAAAGTCTTCCTTCTCATTATTGATCAGACGCTCAGGGAAGAGTTCAGGACTTCCAAATTTTCCTAAAAATGAAGAGTTTGATTCCTCAAGCCTGAACATATTCTACAAGTTACCTAAGGGAATGATAAACTTATTCACTCTGTAATTAATTGCATTGATTACAATTCCAGTAATGACAAATATCAAGAATTTGGCAAGTAAATTAAATTCTCCAGACCCTAGTCTCTTTAGCTATGTAATGGTCATAATAATAGCGTCTATCTTTTAGGTGCCATGAGACGATCTATGTAAACTGCTTAGCACAGTGCCTGGACTATATATCTTCAGTGAATATTAGCTTGTACTATAAATAGCAATGTTCTGGGTCTGTTTTCTCTTTTACGAATGAAGAGATAGACTGAGTCTAAGAAGCTTCCTGAGACTTAGCTAACCTGCCCACAAGGGAGGATATTGGTTGCTGATTTATGTGGATTGCAATTGTTCTGAGGAGAGAGGTACAAGCCAGATTCATGATCATATACCTCTAGCTTAACTCAGGACACCTGGTTCCTAAAGACAGGATTTGTAGAATCAATCAGTCATTTTGCATGGGAGGTAAGGATGAGTATGTTTACTGTGGGCAATAACTTGTGTTCTCTATGCCTGGTGAAACAGATATAGAGCCACAGATAAATAGGTAAAAGACAGGGATGGGAAACTTGGAGGACACGTGTACTGAGTCAGGCCAGAAAGATCTCAATATTTCAGTGGTGAAGGAAAACTGCCATATTTTCAAGGCTGGTGGATAAATCTTACAGATTAGATTTACATGTAATCATCTTTTGTAAAACTGTCAATTTGTCATTCTTTTATTCCTCAATGTACATGCTTTAATTTGTTCAGTTGTTTTACAAATTGATATTGAATATTTTCAACATTTTAGGTATGGGAATGCAAAATAATTAAGACAAGGTTTGCGGCCTCATGTTACACACTGATTCATTAAGGAGAGAGTTAGAGACAAATATAGAAATAAATAATTATAGTACAATATAGTAATTTAATATTTCAGGGTTCTGTGTGCATGGACATAGGTCAGTTAATCCAGCCTATTGGTATCAGGGAAAACTCTTGAGGAGGAAAGGTAAATTGGAATTGGCCAGATGAAAGAGAAGGAAAGAAGAAGTGTGGAGAAAACATTATGTACCCAGTGTTGGAATGGATGTGTAAGGGTCACTGATAAAGAGAGGTCTTAGATTATTATGGTAGTCCTAATGATTCATGCTTGTTTAAGAATTCTGTATCAGTTTTAACCCCTCTCAAGGCCTCAGTCTCCTTGTCTCTCCTCATAGGGCTACAGTCAGGATAGAGAAGTGGGAGTGAGGGAAGCATTTGACCCAGAGGGAAACATTTAATTGTCTCTCTTCTGCTATTTGGTCACTACTACTTACAGATCATGCTGATATTACTGATTGAATAATGATTCAGAATAAGTGTGATTCTGTGCAAATGTCTTTCAAGACCCCACCTTCCTTATTTAAAACATGACATGGGGAATGGAGTTGGATGTTCTCTCAAATTCGTCGTAGCTGAGATCTAGAATGAATCTGACTTCTAGGAAGGGATATTCTAACATAGAGCATGTTATGCACACGGCTCACTTACCATCAATGTTCCTTTGTGTGTTTTTCAGGAGGACTTTCTACCACTGGAACACCTGGGTGAGGTCTCTGCTTCTTGTGCTGCCAACATCTTCAGGATTTATTTATACCCATAAGATAGGAACATGGAATATGTACATTAAAAATTTTTGACTGAACTTCCTATTAACATTTTCAAATTCTTGGGAAATCCAAAAATGTGATTAAGAAGACGACTTTCAATCACATTTGTGAATAATACTAATTTATACTTAATTATACACAGAATTCATGTTATTTGCTTTCCGTGTTAATTTATCTACTTCTTTATATGTGCTGCAGTAGAGAATTGACCATTGACATCTTAATTACACCATCTCTCTTAGAACTACAATTCATTCATTGCCTTATTGCTCATTCCTCCACTCACACACTCATTCAGGAAATGATTCCCGAATGCCGGCAATGTTCAATTCACAATATTAACTGCAGAAGGAAATCACATTGAGAAAAAAACCACAGCACTTTTCATGAAGTGCCTTCATGGTATCTTACAGGAAGGGTAGATTATTGTAATATGGACAGAAAATCGAAAGGGGCCTTTTACAAAAGACAAAAGTCAAATTCTGTGGGAATGCAGAAGTCTTTGTGTATCAATGTTGAAGCATTTACATTTTTGAGAATAATAAAAAATTAGGCAAATACAAGTTTTACTCTATCAAAGTGACATTGAGACTGTGTAGCTTTAGCCCTCTAACCTTGCCTTAGACAGCCTTCTCTGTAATGCTGCCCTGGCCTTCATCTTGTGCCACATCCCTTCTGACACTCTCTTGAAAAACTCACGCAGACTCTTAGAGTAAGCAACCATGATATTTTTACTATGCTGGGCTCTTCCTGGGTATTGATTTCCCTGAGACTCTGTATAATCTACAAATACTTTTCTCCCTTGTCTCTCCCCACCCTGTCACAGTTACAGTCCCAATGAGTGTCAGGAACCTTCTTTGTCCAAGCCTTTCAGCACAGACACCCAAGAACCCACTCACTCTGAGCTACCAGCCCTAATGGAGCTGCAGCCAGTGTACAGCAATGGTGAGGACTTCCTAAGGCCCAGAGGGCTCCAGGGAAGAGCCAGGGAGGGAGGAGAGTGAGCAACAGTATAGAGCTCAGTCACATTAAATTTATAATGGCATTCCTATCACTCTGTTGGGGATAGAACTTGGTGGCTGGGAGGAAGGGTCTAGAGTGTGGGCTCTTGACTACAGCCAGCTATGATTTATTCTCTCACAGTGAATCCTGGAGATAGTGACTTGGTTTATTCCCAGGTCAGGAGCACCCAGCCTACAAAAGAACATTTAGGTAAGACATCTTGCAGACAAGTAGAGGTGAGGTGACAGTATGTTGTCAGATCTAGCAAGGAGTCTTTGATCAAAGAGTCATCTCAAATATGAGTCCAAAATGGAAGAAATTTCCTGCTTCTCTTGTCTTGCCAATCATATAATCGCTCATTCCATCTTAGCTGTCTACACTGCCACCCCACAGATTCCTTGAGGACAGACAGTATAATCTTTCAGTAATGTATCAAAGCATCTAGTGCAATACTTGGCAAACTATAGGCCCCCTCAAATATTTTTTGAATGAATGAATGAATATAATTGCTAAATTAAGCTTCTCGTAATCTATTGTGCAGACAATTGTAATTCTCTTCATTAGTCTTATTATTTGTGATCTTGTTATCCTCCCACCTTCCAACAATCTGTTTCCCACATGATCCCTCTGAGATATACAATAGATCTCATCATTGAGTATATTAACTGCCCGCAATGACTCTCCATTCTAAAGGATGACCCTTGCCTCCCTCTGAACTCTGGCCCCACTCTAAGTTCTGCCTTATGAGCTTATGCTAGCCATACTGAACTCTTGACATCTTTCCTGATCATACTGGGCTGTTTCATGCTTTGGTTCTCATGCTTCTTATTGGTCCTGTGATGTCCTTACCTTTAGTTTACTTGCTGACCCTTGCTCACATTTCAAGACACAGTTCAGGAACCACTGTGAGACTTGGAGTGACTCCCACCAGCCCTCTTTATGTCCTAACCTGGGAGGAACTGATTGCCCTTTCCTGGTTACATAGCATAATTCGATGTGTATGTCTATCTTGGTGCCTATAATACTTGTTGCATTTTTTATGAAAGAGATCCAAAGAACCCCTTGGAAGGGTGGAAGAAATACACATACTGAATTTTCTTAATATTCTACTGTAATTGTCTTCCTGGGAAATTACTCTGTGGCCTTAGAATACCAACTCTCTCTCTGACCGCCTCCAATTTCCCACTGCAAAGTGAAGTGAATCTTATTTGACATCTGTTCCCAGATGATCAGTCTAGTCATAGATGCCCTGTGTTTGGGGGTAGGGTGGTTCTCTGTTGGGGTTGTGATGGCAGTGGAGAAAGAAGGAAATCATCAGGAAAGTGATTCTGGGCATTTGGTGGGCAAGGGCAAGGCTTATGATGTGTGTGGAGGGGAGCAGGTTGGGACCCTTTGCCTGTGAGGGCTTAGAAGTATTCAGCAGAGGAAACAGTCAAGAGATGAGTCAGCAGAGGAAATGTTGGCTTGGAATGCATTGTGAGTAACTTGTAAGTTGGAATATATCATCCACTGTTTAATACTTTTCTTTCCCTTCTCCATCCAACAGCAAATTCACCAAGGATGCATTGGGAGCACGAGGTGGGTCACATTTTCTGGCTTTCTTTCCCTTCTGCTCTTCCTCACCTATATTTAGGTATTTATTGTTTGTATTTTTTCCCACCAGGGATCCACAGTCATCTATTCAGAAGTGAAGAAGACACATCCAGATGACTCTGCAGGTCAGGCCAGCAGTGGAGGCTGGGCCCATGAAGATGCTACAGAAAGCTATGAGAATGTCCCATGTGCATCAATGGCCTTGGACCACTAGCCCTTTACCCAGAGTGACCTCCAGAGACCCTGCAAATCAGTCCCTGCTATTCTCCCTATATTCTCCAACCATGCACCCTCTGCCTCCATGACTCAGCCTCCAAGGAGGCTGGAGGGGACTTGAGGCTGTGTGAAATATCTGCCAGCCTCCTCTGTCTCTGGGTCTGTTCATCTCTAGGAATAGAGTGGGCGTTTGTTTGAGTAAATACTGCATTCTTTTTTCAGTAGACGTACATATGAAAGCAATGCAGGTAGGCCTTCAGCACCTGGGTCCATGGAATAGAGGAGGAGGGAGAAATGACCTGGCCAGAGTCATAAGGGTGCAACGTAGTCATTTAATTGAAGTGTGATTGAAAGCTTTTAATGTACTCTCTCTGCATAAGTAGTTTGATCTAAACATTTTTTTTCTTTTGTGCATGTGTGTTTGGTAGTGGCATTGCTGATGTTCTGGTGTATATGTTATGTTCCAGCTACCAAATTGGAAATGATCAAAAGGATTCATTCTATCTACATATATACTATTTCTTTATGAAATATGTATTTGAAAAAAATAGCCCAGTTTATTTAAAGAGATAGAGCTTCTAAATTATCTGATTACGTAGTGTTATGGACTGAGTTGTGTTCCCTCAGAATTCATATGTTGGAGCCCTAACCCCAATGTGATGATATTTGGAGATAGGGTTTTTAAGGAGGTAATTAAGGTTAAATGAAGTCACGAGGGCAGGCTGTAATCCAACTGGCCTGGTGTCCTTACAAGAACAAGAAGAGGCACTGGAGATCTCTCTATCTCTTGTTGTGCACATAGAGGAAAGGTTATATGAGTACACAGCAAGAAGGCACCATCTGCGCAGCCCAAGGTGGCCGGAAAGAGAAGTCTCACCAGCAACCAACCCTATCAGCACCTGGATCTTCGATTTCCAGGCTCTAAATTCTGAGAAAATAAGCGTCTGATATTTAAGCCACCTACTCTGTGGCATTTTGTAATGACAGCCAGAGCAGATTAATACAGATTTATACATAGATATATAGACGATAAATGATCGGTGATTATAATGTTGATGATGATAATGATGATGATGGTAGATAAATAATAAAATAGATGCAGACATATGACACACCTCTCTACCCACACAGAATTTTTGGTCTTCAAGATACTTTGGTCTCACAGGATCAAACATTCTTCCTACCTGAGGCAGGTTAGTTTTTGCTGTTTAATTATTCAACATCCAATATTTGAAGACCACAGAAGCATCAGCACAAACCCTGTAAGCCCAGTAGAGCCAATGATTCACGTGACTCAGATGGCAAAACTTAGTGTCACTCGGGAGCCCTCATGACCTGTTCTGGCAGTGGATATAGAGATAGACGCAAGGCAATCAGTAGGCTCAAAGGAGGACAACCCCTTCTTTTGCTCAAAGACCCCTAATCCATTCCTCAACTGACTGACAAACATTGAATGTCTACCACTGAAGAGAAAAAATTTTTAAAGTGTGACTTTGTGCTTAAGTTTCAGGAAAAATGGCAGAATAACTTTTAGTCATAAGATTTGCTGGGGCAAGAAATGAATAACTGAAATTGTTGGGATCTATCACCTAGTGTTACACGCAAATTTTATTAGCTCTGAAAACAATAGATCTTAAGAAAAGAAGCTAGTAAGTTCACTAATGACTGATTTATATCAACTGTTATAATGTATGGACGTCATGGATTTTACACCAGTCATTATTCATGACTTTAAGTAAATAACACAACGATGTTTTGCAAAACTGGAAAATAGCTCAAGCATAAAAGTATTAAGTGTATTTTATATTTTTGGCTTTTACCCTTGGGGGTCAGAAGGTTAGACAACAGAAAGTATAACATATACTTTAGAAAAGTGCAATCTGATTTGAGGTTTTTAATCATAGGCTTATGAATTCAACTAGCAAGCTAATTTGCTGAGAAAAAAAAACCTACTTCTTTCTTAAAGAGGTCACACATATTTTTCTTATTAACGGGGCTTATATGTCTTGTCACCATGTTACTAGGTACAAAATACAATCTGGAATGTATGCCTGGCCTTTCAAGGGTGCAAGAGATCCAGGTGTAATCTATATCTGTGCTTAAATTTTGCTCCAAATGCCTCCCCACTTTGGGATCCAGGAAGAATAAAGCTGTATATGGGGGAGGAGTCAATATCACCAAGTGCCAAATGTGAGAAATCCATTTGGAAGAGTGATGAAAAAGGACAAATGTTTCTTTATTGACTTAAGAGAGAAAATTCCTAAAGGAGAAAGACAGGATCTAGGCAGCATCCCATGGACAGTGAGAGTCACTCTCCAGGAGTGCCAGTCAGTGGTGCAAGCAGCACCAAGGACAGCAGCCTCTAACAAGAAGAGAACCAGCAAATGGCAGCAAGAGATGGGGACCAGAGAGACTCTAGAGTGCATAGAATAGTTCCGAGCTTATGAGAGCCTCCCTCCCAGAACTCCATATCCAGGTCCTCAAACTGAGGGCAAATAATAGTACCTGTAAGCAGTCAGGAAGTCTAAGAAATATTTGGGAGAAGATTCAAGAGAAAATTATTTTTTGAATTAGTCAAGAAAGTAAATTTGGAGCTTCAAGATTTGACACATTACTATAATTTCTTTCTTTACATTATGTTTATTTGCTTACAAATTTATTGTAGAATAATTTATGTGCAACAAACTGCACATTTTTAAAGTGTACAATTCAATGAGTTTGACAGATGTATACATCCGTGAAACCCCCACCACCACAATCAAGATGCTGAAATCTCCATCACCCCCCAAAGTTTCCTCATCCTCTAAGCAATACTGCTTTCCCTCTACCTCCATCTTATGTAATCATTGATATGCTTTCTGACACTATAGATTTCAATGTATTTTCTAAAATGTTATGTAAATAGAATCCTACAGTATAGACTCTTTTGTGTCTGGATTCTTTCACTAGGCAAAAAGATTTTGAGATTCATTCGCAGTTTTCATGTATGCATAGTATATCCCTTTTCATTGCCAAGTAATATTACATTGTATGGATATACCACGTTTTGATTATCCATTTACCTATTAGTGAACATTTGGATTATTTCATCATTATTAAAAATAAAGCTGCTATAAATATTCATGTACAAGTATTTGTGTAAACATATGTTTACTGCTTTTTTGTCATACCAAAGAGTGCAATTGCAGGGTCACATAGTAGATTTATGTTCAACACTTTAAGAGGCTGCAATGCTCTTTTCCAAAACGGCTGTACCATATTACATTCCCATGAGAAGTTTATGATAGTTACAGTTGCTCCACATCCTTGCCAACAATTGACTTTTTCAGTCTGTAATTTTAGTCACTCTAAGGAGTATGTAGTCTAGCACAGTGTTATCTCATTATGGCTTTAATTTCCCTGATGATCAATGATGCTGATTATCTTCTCAAGTCCATATTGGCTCTCTACAGATCTTTTGTGAAGCATCTGTTTGCATCTCTCCCTCTTTTTAATGGGTTGTTTTCCTTTTTATTATTGAGTTGCAAGAGTTTTCGAATATATTCTGGTATGATTTATAAGTTGCAAATATTTTTTCCATTTCCATAGCTTGCCTTTTATTTTCTCAATGGTGTCTTTTTAGAGCAAAAGTTTTTAGTTTTGATCAAGTCCAATTTGTCAACTTTTAAATTTTATGTGTATGTTTTATGTTTCCTAAAGAAGTAAGTACACCCCAAGGTCAAAAGGTCCTCTCCTATTTGTTTCATTTTTTTTCTAGTTTTCACTTTTACATTTAGGTCCATGTGCAATTTAAAGTGAATTTGTGTGTGTGTGTGTGTATGTATAGTGTGAGAAAAAAATGTTCATTTTTTCCTTGTGAATATCGAGTTGTTACAGCATTATTTGCTGAATAAACTTTCTTTTGCCTCTTTCTAATTTGAGTTGTTTGTCTTCTTATCCAGTTACTGAAGTTCATTATATATTTGGGATATATATCCCATTGTCAGATATATACTTCGCAAATACTTCCTTTTGGTTTGTGACTTGCCTTTACATTTTCTTTACCGTGTCTTTCAAAGAGCAAACATTTTTAATTTAATAGAAATTATTTACCACTTTTTTTCTCTTATGGTTTATGGTTTGTGTATCTTGTTTAAAAGCAATTTGCCTAACTGAATGTCATAAAGATTTTTACCTATATTATTTTTTAGAAATTTATTAGTTTTAGCTCTTATATTTGTATATGTGACACATTTCAAATGTCTTTTTCATATGGCATGAGGTGAGAGGTGATGTTAATATTTTCCCATACAGACATCCATTTGTTTCACTACCATTTCTTCAAAAAACTACTTTTTTTCCCATTGAATTACCTTGTCCCTTTGTCAACATTCAATTGACCATATAAACACAGGTCTACTTCTAGACTATTCCATTCCATTGATCTTATACATCTGTCCCTATGCCCAAAACCACTCTTCTTGATTGCTGTTGCTTTGTTTTAAGTCTTGAGATCTTGGTGTAAGCTCATCAACTTTATTTTTTTCCCAAAGTTGTTTTAACTAATATAAATTAATTTAACTAATATATACTTAAAACTCATAGGGTTTTACACTGGAATTTTAATTTATTTGAAAAAGTCTGTTAGAATTCTGATTAGGATCTCATTGAATCTATAGATCAATTTGAAGAGAATTGCCCTCTTAACAACACAGTCTTCCAATCGATGAAATTTATATAACTTTTCATTTCTTTAGGTCTTTTTAAATTTCCTTTTTGCACCCCCTTTATTAAATTAATTTCTAATGATTTTATATTATATGCTAATGTAAGTGGAGTTTTTATTTCATTTTCTAATTTCTAGTATTTTGTGGTAATATTCCTCAATTTTGTGAGTTCAGGTAGGATTGATATTTTATTTTTCTTTAATAGAATACAGTAGTGAAGCTGTTTGGATCTGAATTTTTTTTGTGGGGGAAAGTTTTTTGGTAAGGAATTTAGGCTCTTAATTAATAGAGGACTATTCACAAATTTTTTCTTTTTGTGTCAGTTTTGGCAAGTTGTATTTTCTGAGCAATATGTCCATTTCTTCTAGTTGGTAAATTTGTTAGCACAAAATTTTACATCATACTTTCGAATATTTTTAATGTCTGAAGCATTTGTAGTACTAACTTCTCTTTCATTCCTAACACTGTTTGTTGTATTTGCTCTCTTTTTCTTTTTGATCTGTTTAGCTAAGAGTGTCTCAATTTTAGCAAAGAACCAGCTTTGTCTTTGTTAATTGACTCTATTTTTTTTTTCCATTTTGTTGATTTCTGCTTTTATCTTTATTACTTTATTCTTTCTACTTATTTTGTGTGTGGTAGGCAGAATTCTTTGATGGCTCCCAAGATTTCTGCTCCCAAAGACTCTCATCATTGTATTATCCTTTCCTCTTGAGTATGATCAGGACTTGTAAATACGATGGGATATCACTCAGTGATTAGATTACTAATCATTTATTTTCAACTAATTAGAAGGGAGATTTTCCTAAGCTACTTAATCAGATGTCTTTAAAAAGAAGTGAAGCAGCAGAAAGATTTTTCTGCAGGCCTCAAGGAAGAAACAAACTTGTCATGTTGTAAAATGCCTATGAAGAGAGAGGCAGCTTCTAGGAGGTGAGGGTGGTCCCCAGCCAGCAGCTGGTGAGAAAAAGAGGACCTCAGTCATACAACTGAAAGGAAATGAAGGGAACTTGTAAGTGGATCTCTTCAGAGTTCAGCCTCCTTATGTGGATCCCCTCAGCTGACACCTTGATTTCAGCCTTCTGAAACCTTGAGCAAAAGGCCCAGCTGAAAACACACCAGGCTCCTGACCCATTGAAACTGTGAGATAATAAATGTTTGTGGTTTTAAGCTACTAAATTTAAGCTACACAACAATAGAAAGTGAATACATTGTCTGCTTTGTTCCTCTTTTTCTTGCTTTTTAAAGTGGTACCTTGAATTATTCATTTTAGACCTTTCTTCCTTTCTAATGTAATCATTAAAACCTAAGGTTTTGATACTAATGCTGGTTTATCTGCGTCCCACACATTTTATTATTATTGGTATGGTTACATCTAGGTACTCCATTTCATAGTTTTGTGTTTTCCTGGGTTTTATTTCTCTGCTTACTTTTCCTGCTTTCTTCTAGATTATTTTTATTTTTATTTTTTTTAGTATTTTATTCAGTTCCTAATAGTTTTTAATAGTCGTTAGGATTTTTTCAACTCACTGATTATTTAAAAATACGTTGTTAATTTCCAAATATTGGGGATTTTCCCAAATATCTTATTGGTACAGATCTTGCTTGACTTATGATAGAGTTATGTTCTTATAAACCCATTGTAAGTTGAAGATATCATAAATCAAAATAGGTTTAATACACCTAACCTACTGAGCATCATAGCCAAGGCTAGACTACCTTAAACGCACTCAGAACACTTGCATTAGCCGACAGTTGGGCAAAACCATCAAACACAAAGCCTACTTTATGATAAATTGTTGACTGTCTCATATAATTTATTGAATACTGTACTGAAAGTGAAAAACAGAGTGGTTGTATGGGTGCAGAATGGTTGTATTAGTTGTTTATCCTTCTGATCGTTGGGCTGACTGGGAATTGCAGCTCGCTGCTGCTGAGCAGCATCACCAGAGAGTATTGTACTGTATATCGCTAGTCCAGAAGACCAAAATTCAAATTTGAAGTACAGTTTCTACTGAATGTGTATCACTTTTGCTCCATCATAAAGATGAAAAATTGTAAGTCGACTCATTGTAAGCTACCGACCATCTATATTGCTTCCTAATTTAATTATGTTGTGATTGGGGAACATTCTATTATTTCAGTCCTTTCAGATTTATTGGGACTTGTTTTATGACCTGATATGTGATCTATCTTGATGAGTATTCTGGAATGTAGTAAATATCAATTAAGTTAAGGAAGTTAAGAATGTTGTTCAAATTTTCCTTGTCTAGTGTCCTATCAACGGCTGAAACAGGAATGTTAAAATTTCCTACTATGATTATAGAATTATCTATTTCTCACACTATACCATCGATTTTTGCTTCTCGTATTTTGAGACTCTGATATTAGATGCATACACATTAATAATTATGTCTTCCTGAAATTGCCCCTTTTATCATTATGAATTATCCCTCTTTATCTCTAAAAATACTCTTTGTCTTGAAGTCTATTATATCTAGCCTTAATGTAACCACCTCAGCTCTCTCATGCTTACTGCTTAAATAATGTATCTTTCTCCATTCACTTACTTTCAACGTATTTGTGTCATTATATTTCAAGTGTGTTACTTGTAAGCAACATGAAATTCGGTATTACTTATTTTTTATTGAGGTAACATTGATTTATAACATTATATAAATTTCAGGAGTACATAGTATATGTCAATTCTTGTGTAGATTACATCATGTTCACCGCCCAAAGACTAATTACAATCTATCATTACACCTGGTTCCCCCTCTGGTAACCACCAATCCAATCTGTCTCTATGTGATTGTTTCTTGTTTTTATCTTCTACTCGTGAGTGAGATCATATGGTATTTTACTTTCTCCCTCTGACTTATTTCATTTAGCATAATACCCTCAAGTTCCATCCATGTCGTCACAAATGGCTGGATGTCGTCATTTCTTGTGGCTGAGTAGTGTTCCATTGTTGTGTATATACCACATCACCTTTAGCCATTCATCCCTTGATGGATACTGAGGTTGCTTCCGAGTCTTGGCTCTTGTGAATAATGCTGCAATGAACATAGGGTGCATGTATCTTTATGCATTCCTGTTTCCATGTTCTTTGGATAAATACCCAACAGTGGTATAGCTGGATAGTATGGTAGTTCTATTCTTAATTCTTTGAGGAATCTCCACACTGTTTTCCATAGTGGCTGCACCAGTTTGCACTCCCTCTAGCAGTGTATGAGAGTTCCCTTCTCTTCACAACCTACCTAATACTTGTTGTTTCCTGTTTTGTTAATTATAGCCATTCTGACGGGAGTGAGATGATATCTCGTTGTAGTTTTGATTCACATTTCTCTGATAGTTAATGATGTTGAACAGCCTTTCATGTGCCTGTTGGCCACCTGTATATCTTCTTTGGAGAAATATCTGTTCAGATCTTTGGCCCATTTTTTTATCTTAAAGATTGGCACCTAAGCTAACAGCTGTTGCCAATCTTCTTCTTTTATTTATTTATTTAATTTATTTTTTCTTCTTCTCTCCAAAGCCCCCCCAGTACAGAGTAGTATATTCTAGTCGTGAGTGCCTCTGGTTGTGCTATGTGGGATGCTGCCTCAACATGGCCTTATAGATTGTGCCATGTCCATGCCCAGGATCCGAACCCGCAAAACCCTGGGCCGCAGAAGCCAAGCATGTGAATTTAACCACTTGGCCACTGGGCCAGCCCCTGGTCCATTTTTAAATTGGGGTGTTAGTTTTTTTTTGTTGCTGAGATGTATGAGTTCTCTTTATATTTTGGATATTAACCCCTTATCAGATATACGGTTTGCGAATATCTTCTTCCAATTGTTTGATTGTCTTTTCATTGCATTGATAGTTTCCTTTGCTATTAAAGCATTTTAATTTGCTGTAGTCCAATTTGTTTATTTTTTTCTATTGTTTCTCTTGCAGGTCAGACATGGTACTTGAAAATATGCTGCTCAGACTGATGTCAAAGACCATACTGCCTATGTTTTCTGCTAAAAGTTTCATGGTTTCAGGTCTTACATTCAAATCTTTAATCTATTTTGAGTTGATTTTTGTGCATGGTATAAGGGAATGGTCTACTTTCATTCTTTTGCATGTAGCTGTCCAGTTTTCCCAATACCATTTGTTGAAGAGGCTTTCCTTTCTCCGTTGTATGTTCTTGGTTCCTTTGTCAAAGATTAGCTGTCCATAGAT